GTATTTCAAAATCACATTTCAAAAATCAGATTTGATAAATTATTTTTCAAAAATCAGGTATCAATTTAAACTTTTTAATATCTTAAAATTAAAATTAAATTAACTTCATCCACCCAAACCCTAATTATTCATCACCCTTCATTCTCTCTCTCTCTCTCTCTCTCATTTTCTCTCCCATCTCTCTCTTCTTTACCCGATTTTCACCATTCTTCTCTCTACATATCTCCCTTCTCTCTCTTCTTCTTCCCCTTCGAACGCCGGCGACCGACGAAGGAGTTGCGTTGGTCAGCTATGCTGCGGCATCAAAGGCCACCGCTGCTGTTAACGACGCTGAAACAGCCGATGTCCGTCGCGAAGGCTGCTGCTGCTGCTGTTTGATATACCAATGTCCTTCGCGATGCTGCAATCGCGATGTCTATTCACCACGACGCTTCGCCGACAATGGTTGTAGTGAGTATTGTGTAGTGGTGGGTGGTGGTGGTAGTGTTTTGTGTGGTAGCGATTTTGTAGTGGTGGGTGGTGGATCTAGCGGTTGGGTGGGTTTATTGAATTTTGGCGATGGAAGTGGTGTTTTTATAGGTGAAAAGTGGTGGTGAATCGGTGGTGGTGGAGGCAGTTTGTTTGAAATGAAAAGTGGTGGTTAATAGGTGGGTGATGGATCTAGCAGTTTGTTTGTTTGGTGGTGGAGGCAGTTTGTTTGGTGGTGAAAAGTGGTGGTGAATCAGTGGGTGGTGGATCTAGCAGTTTGTTTGCGGTAGTGGTGTTGGTGGTTGTTCAGTGGCTGTTGGATGATGGCGTTGGTTGTGCGTTTCTGTTAGTGGTGGAGGTAGTTGTTGGTGGTGGTGGTACGGTGGTTGTGGGTGGTGGGGACGGTGGTGGGATAGCGTTTGTGACCAATTATTTGGTTGACTTGTGACCAAGTATTTGTGATGGCCACAGTGGTAGTGGCGGTAGCCTGTGACCAAATATTTGCTAGTCTGTGAAAAATTATTCAACTGTGACCTAAAAATTTAATAATATGTGACTTAAAAATAATCTGTGACCAACTAATTTAAAAATCCGTGACCTCGAAATAATGTGACGTACAAAATTTTTATCTGTGGTCTCGAAATAATCTGTGACCAATTAATTTTAAAATATGTGACCTGAGACCTATAATTAATTTGGAAATCTGTGACCTACAAAATTTTTGAGTTGTGACCTTAAATTTTAAATCTGTAAAGTATAAAAATTATTATTTGTGACTGAAAATAATATGTGACTAATTCAATTATAAATCTATGATCGAAATGATTGCCGGAATAGTCGTTGGAATCGGAACATTCGTAGGAATGATCGTCGGAGAAGAGTGATTGTCGAAGAAGAGTGGTGGTTGGAATGATCGCCGGAATAGTCTCCGGAGCGGT